AAAAAAAAACCCCCCCCCCCCCCCCCCCCCCCCTCTGAGGCGATAAATAATGACCGGTCCCTAATGGAGTACGTAAACAGGCAACAACAAAAATTTTTATCTCTAAAGAGGAGAGTCACATATCGGATAGATGTTCACACTATGACGGATAGCTTTAAGTGGCGCCACGAGAGAGCCATCGCAGTATAGTGTTAACATAACCTAAAGGCGCTTTCCATAAGCCAGAACTGGCCGGCCGGACCATGGCCAGACCAGACATTTTGTCAATGAAACAGGCCTTTTCCAAGAGGTTTTGCTGAAAAACCGTCTCCTTGATTTGACTGATCTGGATGGTTATTGTTGATTAAAAGTGAAATTCTCACTACGATGGGAATGGGCTGGCCAGTGAGTTCTGACAAATAAAAAGCGCCCTGGGATGACTGGGAGACTGGTAGGCTTACCCTCTTTCCCATTAGACAACTTTTCTCTCTAAACGGGGTCTTTCAAAGGGCGCCCGCGGGGTGTTAGGAAATTCTTGCGTCATTGTAGCGGGAAAAATCGTCACGTGATCTGAAAACCGAACTTTGTACAAGAGTCTAGGAACGGTGGAGTCATTCGGAGTGGTGGAGCTGATCGAGTGTGTAGATTGAGTGTTTGATCATCGAAACTTTACGCGAATTGATGTCGATGAATTCTTTAAGTGTAAAACAGAGTACAGAATTCTAAAATATGAACATGTGAAGAAATATACTTTCAAGGGAGTGACGAATTAAAGCAAAATGGAACTGGTTGTTTCACACATGATTCGTGACACGAGGTATTACACGACAGCATATCAAGCTGATCATGGAATAGCCAAACATGCTGAACCAGTTTTTTTAAGACGGAATCCATCAGGAAATTGAGTAATTTTAATTATCAGTGGACAAAAACCTTGTACCACTTATTAAATTTGTTATAACGTAAGAAAAACTGTAAAAAGTTCCCGATATCTACATTAATCAATAGACATTATTGTGGTTTCTTTTAAAGAATACCTTCGGGATCTTAACGTATGTCAAATTGCACAAAATAACATCTTACACCTGTTTTCACAATTCTTGTGAAATTTGAAATTTATTTTCTTGGGCACCAATGAGAAATAGTCCGAGTTGGTGTTATAACAGATAATAAATTATATCTGTAGCCTTTGAAAAAGGTAAAAAAGAATGAGGCATTGTTTAAATTTTTCTGGTACAAGGTTTTTGTCCACTGAAAGTTGAAATTACTCAATTTCCTGATTGATTCTGCCGTCAATTAGGTGGCCAGGATTTCATTGCTCGCAGTGTATAACACATAGCGTTCGGGATAACAGCTCGCGTATTTCTAAAACAAAAAAGACAAAATGAGCGAAACAAAAAAAGATCAAGTTCCTTCTCCTATGCCAGAGAAGCTTTATTGGCTAATAGACGGTTTTCGTCTGTCTAAAGCGCTATTTGCAGCATGTGAATTGGGAGTCTTCGACAAACTGCGCACCGCATCCGCACCACAATCAGCCGACGAAATAACAAAGGCATTGTCCTCCGATCTTGACGCCACTACACGTCTCATGGACACCCTTGCGGCAATGGAATTGCTAGAAAAATTCAAACAGGGTGACCAGTGGTTGTACAGTAATTCTGAAATGGCCACTAAATTTCTCACCAAAGACAGCCCAGATTCGTATCTAGATATGATCGCATTTACAAACAAAACGCTGTATCCTATCTTTGGAAATTTAGAAACCGCCGTTCGCGAGGGAACTACACAGTGGAAGAGGACGTTTGGAATGTCTACAGAGGAAAGTTTTGTGAACCTTTATAACACCGAAGAAGCCAAATCACGATTCCTGGGTGCCATGCATTGTCATTCACTCTATGGAAGTTATGCTGCTGCTAAAGCCATTGATCTAAACGCGTACCGAGAAGCTGCTGTGATCTAGGAGGTAAGTCAAAGGGAAAGTTCGTATACATCACACGCTATTTTTATAAGAAGTGTAAGACTGAAATGGAAAAACCTTTGCCTGTCAGCACTGTGAAAACAATACTGGCTGAAGTTTATTCCACCTCATCTGAACGAGCAGTATAAAGAAACCACGATAAAATAGAACAAAACCGCGTTTGGTCTCACAGCGGCTAAACTAAATTAATAGTCGACTGAATACAATAACATAGAGAAATTTTGAGCCAAGAAAAATGTCTTAACGAATTTGCATGATATTGTCAGACTTTCATTCCAAATGTATCTTATTCTTCTTTTCTTAAACGGCTGTCCCATTTTAATTACGCTCACAGCCCTGGCTGGGATACTTAGGCTAATTTTAGTAGAGAAAACTTATAACACGAAACTCTATAGTAAAAAACATTGTTATAATCTCCGTTTATTTTTTTATTCATTTATTTATCTCTTCAAATTAGAGGACAAGCTTGCGCCCTATGGAACTGTTCGCATGCCCAGTTACGCAGGAAAACCAGTCGTAGGGGTTTGCATCAAATTAGTAGGCAAAATTCAAGACTCCTGTTCATATTCCGCTAAGAAATTGTGTAAATAGATGGAGAAACGCGTTAACTACCGTTTTTAACATTCCCGATGGGGAAAACACGGCTACCTTTTTGGAGGTTACGTGTCTGCCAAGAATTTTTCGCTGGGTTTACACAAAAATTCCATCTAAGCAAGAAAATTAGTTGTAAATGTGGTAAACAGCAAACGGCCTATGACTCTGTTTGCTGAAATGGAAATTTAAAATTCCCTGCTATTTCTCTCTGCTCTAGGGGCTGTGGGAACTCTAGCCTATGCTTTCTGTCAGGTCTACCCTGAAATGAAGATAATAGTTTGTGACTTGGAGCCAGCCTTGATTTTAGCTCATCACTTCCGACCATCAGTGGAAGCTTGCCAAAATCAAGCCAATGTTTCCTTTGCGGTCGGCGATTTCTTCAGACCTGAAACCATACCAAAGGCTGAACAGTATGTGCTGTCTCGCGTTCTCCACGACTGGTCAGAGGATAAAGTTGACTTGATTCTTTCAAATGTCTACAGGTGCTTACCCTCAGGTAATTTTAATAGAAAGAAGGTTTTACCGTTCTTAAAGGGATCCAGCACGCACGTACGGAAGTACGTGCATGAAATCAAATCCAAGCAGAAAATACTAGGTTCCGCACGTAACTTACAGTTCGGATCAAGAAAACAAGGTTTATTATGTCTCTGGTTTAATTACAAACTGAGAGGGCATCAAGGATTACAGTTCAAGCAGGAAAGCTGTAAATGATCGATGTGAATGAAATCCTACACACGAGCGTCAAAAATCGTGGCTTTGTGACGTCAAAACACTTAATACACCCATACTAAACTCCAAACTTACAAGAAATGCCGTAATAGCTTTACAATGTTTTTTTCCTCATGAATTGTAACCAAAACGAATTTTCATTCTGAATTCACGGTCTTAAGTCTTTAAGTGAAATGAGCCCGCGAACTGACTGATGAAGAAGTGCTTTGGTAACAAAGGGCGTTTTAATCTAACACGTAGCCTACACGGTAACGGTTGACAGTGCATATAGAAATGGCGTACAAGATTATTGTATGAAAAATCATCTCTTTTGCTAGCCTAACTTCGACAATGTTGGAGACGTTTTAACTCTCTCAGTAACTGAGGGACTAAAAACGACTCTAAGTAATCGTCTGAAATTCAGGTTACTCTGTTGCCATAAAAAGGCAAACAACGCACCATTTTTCATAGCTCTTTTATTTTTGTAGGTGGGGGACTCCTCATTTGCGAACGGATTTTAAACGAAGACAAACGTGGCCCATTGCCTTCTCTCATTTGCAGCCTTTTAATGTTGGTGTCCACGGGTGGAAAAGAGAGATCAGCTTCAGAATACAAGCATCTCCTGGAAAAGCATGGGTTTGTAGATGTTCAAGCGAAACGTGTTTATCTTACTCAAGATGCCATTTTCTGCAGAAAGATGTAACATGCAGCAACGTTTGCATAAAATTAAGTTGAACACTGCCTTACGATTAACTTATGGTCATTGAATGCTAGTGAATCGATTTATATTACATTAGAATTAGGTATCCTTTCAAAGTAGGATAGCCATGGGAGCAGTGGCTATGGCACCGAGCGCAAATTAACCATAATAAAACTGCCCCTGGGGGAGCTTTTCTGGCAGCTTAGTCATTAACAGGAAATGAAAAACATAATTTTGATTTAAATGGGGGTATCAGTTAGGCCCGGTTCAGACGCCGTACTATGGAGCGATACTGGCGCGACATGTGATTCAGAAGGAGCACCTTGTGTCGAGCCTAAGTAAAGTTCGACAAAAGTTCGACAGACTCTGCCTAACTTTTGCAGCACCAAACGCTTTTGCCGCACCAAACTAAAACTGCCGTACCAAATTGATTCAGACACCGCTCTTTTGCCGTACTTAATTCATCAGTTAGGTTCAGCACATGAGTGGAGCGGCGTCTGAACCGGGCCTACAACCAAAGGAGGTATAGAATTATCATTAGTATTTGGAGCATACTTTGTTCAGATAGTCCTGCTCATTGACAAATAAGCCTCTTTGCATTCAAGTGGCATCTGATAAATAAAACATGTTCTTATACTTTTTGGTAAAATCCAACTAGTGGTCTATTATAAATGCTGCGTTGTGATTGGTTGAGCTACTGCTAGGCTATATGTTATAGCCCACTAGTAGCGAAAAGTGCCGGCTTTGAAAATTAAAACAATGGCGGCTGAATCACATTTTGCTAGCTAAAGTTGTTTTGTCTCAATATTTTTGACCAATTAGTTGGATTTTACTAAAACAATTATTCCTCTCGCCCTCATAGCCTCTAAGTCAATAGCCCATTCGGCCTTCGGCTGCATGGGCTACTGACTCAGAACCCATTTGGACTCGAGGAATAATTGTTAAATAGCGGCTCGTCCGTCCGCGCGCGCAGCGAAGCCCCATACCTAAGAGAACATTGAAACCTATCGATGCCAGAAAATATGGTTATGACGTCAGTGTACGCCCGTACAGTCTCTGGTGGCAGGGGTAAAAAAACTCAACAGGGTAGGGAAGGGAGTCTCAGACATTGACTTTGCCTTTCGTTTTGGCCCAAAATTAACCATTTTAGGGGTAACCAACGGAGTTAATCGAGTAAAATTCTAGACTGAAGTTTCTTGTGTTCGATCAAGAGCCAAAGGTAAATATCCACCACTGGCCACCGACACTGAAGTGAACAATTGTTTTCGTATATACTAAAACAGTGAGATAATTGAGCACAAAAATGATGATTTTGAACTCATTTACTGTTGCCAACGATTACAATTTTCAGGGGCAGCCAACGGGAAATTTTGAGAAAAAGACCTAAAAACAACAACAAAGCATGAATAAAGTTTTCTGAGACTACTTTAAGCATTTTTGGAGATTGCTGGAAAAAAAATTATCTGTTCCTCACTCCCAGCAAGACTGATGGAAGAGTTCCCAGCCAGCAACCTTACAACGTGCAACCTGACTTACTGGGAAGTTTCATAGGGTACAATTCAGATCTTGAGTGGTAAGTAACCCATACAAGTAACCCGTAGCAGCTATTCTAGACTTCAAATCCCCTCTGACACGGACTTAATAGAAAAAGGCAGCAACACTTTCCTTCCAAGGACTATTATTTCTTTCACATCTCCCAGCCAGCAAAAATGTGCCTGAAGAACAGATATTTTGAGGAACAGATCCATTGGGTGCCCCTGAATTTTGGTGCGCGATGACCGAACGGCAGCGGTCGTCGCTTTTTCTTGCCGACAAACAAAACTTTTGAAGGCATTTGTTTAGCTCTTGCGGGGAAGTTTCTTCAAAAGGAGTTGTGAATTCTTTTTGTATTTAAAATCATTCTGTAAAAAGATTATTAAATTTAGTTTTAAGCTTATTTATGAACAAGTCAACTAAATAAAGTAATGCAAAACTTAATTTGCATTTGTAAACAAAAACCTTTTTCACCGATTTTATCGATAAATTCAAGTCAAAAAGACGAAGCTTTACCAGTTAAAACTTCCAAACCGAACTTCGTGATCTTCTTCATGTATTTCGGGAACAGCTTGCTTGATTAGTTGTGAAATTTCTTTGTTTGTTACGGCAGCAAACCGGGAAGGCATTTTGCTCGCAACCTACGCGAGTTTGGCGTCGCTCGCTCGGAGGAACTGGAGGTGAATCAGTGAATAGTTAACAATTATTCCTCGAGCCCGAATGGGCTCTGAGTCAATAGCCCAGGAGGCCGAAGGCCGAATGGGCTATTGACTCAGAGGCCATGAGGGCGAGAGGAATAATTGTTTTAGTAAAATCCAACTAGTTGGTCAAAAATATAGAGAAGAAAAAAATTTAGCTACAGTAGTTAAAGCTAGACTTTAATCCTTTTTTGCCGCCAAAAAGCCCGCGCTTTTCGCTACTAGGTGGCTATAACATATAGCCTAGTAGTAGCTCAACTATCCAGAACGCAGTATTTATTATAGACCACTAGTTGGATTTTACTAATGCAGGATATTCACTGATTGAATAGCCAATCAGAGCGCGCGAAAAACACTATCCACTGTTTTAGTATATACTAAAAGATTTAAAGGGAAGCTTCGCTCTCAGTCTTGGCTAAATCTAGGTAGAAATTATGACAGAGCAAGCGTTTTAAGAAAGGCCCACACGGGGTATCACACGATGGCATGTCAAGCTGATGCATTAGCCAAAAACGGTTACTGAGCCGGTTAGAATCCAGTTACTTTAGTTTATTTGTCTACATTTTTATGCGTGAATATAAACGGGTGAGGGCAGAAGCTACTTAAATCACGTCATTTTAAATATATATCTTCAAAAGTTGGTCTCTGCTCGAAGGGTATAACATATCATGTTCTGATAACCTCTCGCGTATTTCTGAAAAAAGACGAAATGAGTAAAGGGAAGGATATTCAAGTCCCTTCTCCTATGCCGGAGGAGCTTTTTTCAAGCAGTTGAAAGGTTTTCTTGATTCAAAAACGCTTTTTGCAGCCTGTGAATTAGGAATCTTCGACAAACTGCGCTCCGCATCCGCACCATAATCAGCCGACGAAATATCAAAGGCATTGTCCTCCAATCTGGACGCCACTACACGTCTCATGGACACTCTTGTGGCAATGGAATTAGTATAGGTAATAGCATGATTTGTGGTGATATTTGGCATAAATACCATGAGTGATATTTCAAAATTGTTATACGTAATTTCACGAGCCGTTAGGCGAGTGAAATTTGAGACAATTTTGAAATATCACGAATAGTATTTATGCCAAATATCACGTACAAATCCTGCTATTATTTCTTTACACTACTACCCCCAAAAGGTTTGTAATCTTCACATGTAGGTATTTCAAGTTAAGCTGAAATATCACTGCACTAAGCCAATCAAATTGCAGAAATTTCTCCTGTAGTAGTATAACTAGAAAAATCCAGACAGGGTGACCAATGATTGTACAATAATTCTGAAATGGCTACTAAATTTCTCACCAAAGACAGTCGAAATTCGCATCTGGATATGATCACATTTACAAACAAAAGGATGTATCCTATCTTTGGAAATTTAGAAACCGCAGTTCTTGAAGGAACTACACAGTGGAAGAAGACGTTTGGAATGTCTGCAGAAGACTGTTTTCCCAGTGTTTCCGAAGAAGCCAAATTGCGGTTCATGGGGGCCATGCATTGTAACTCACTCTACGGAAGTTATGCTGCTGCAAAAGCCATTGATCTAAGCGCGTACAGAAGCTGCTGTAACCTAGGAGGTAAGTCAAAAACTGACGGAACGTTCGTATACATCACACGCTATTTTTATAAGAAGTGTAACACAAACAATGGAAATGCCCACAGCGGCTAAACTAAATTAATAGTCGACTGAATACAATAACATAGAGAAATTTTGAGCCAAGAAAATGTCTTAAGTAATTTGCATAGTATTCAGACTTTCATTTCAAATGTATCATATTATTTTTGTTCTTAAACTCGTCACCAATTTGTCAGTTACTTACGATTCTCAGTAAGATAGTCAAGCGACATATCACGTGACGATAAGTGTAACAAATTTTAATTCAATTTTAATCCCTGTGCCAAAATTATCGGCAGTAAATCATTTTTTCCTTAACTAACCTGTTAGATCCAGGTTTTAAAACTACTTATGGAAAAGACCTTGTATATGAAAAATGCTAAGCCTGTTTCAAACCAGCACGACTGTAGCACGACTTGGTTTAATGATAAGACGTCGAATTCAACTTATTCAATACCTTTCCGTGAATAACTTTGCATGAGCTTTGTAACTGCTGTCCCATTTTAATTACGCTCGTAGTCCCGGTTGTGGATACTTAGACGAATTTAGTAGAGAAAATTTATAACACGAAACTCTATAGTAAAAACATTTTTATAATCTCCGTTTATTTATTTTATTCGTTTATTTATCTCTTCAAATTAGAGGACAAGCTTGCGCCCTATGGAACTGTTCGCATGCCCAGTTACGCAGAAAAAAACCAGTCGTAGGGGTTTGCATCAAATTATAGGCAAAATTCAAGACTTCTGTTCAAATTCCGAAATTGTGTAAATCGCTCCTATTTACCAGAAAAATGGCCACAAAAGCCTTAAAACATATAAAAAAGGTAGAGATGGAGAAACGCGTTAACTTCCGTTTTCAACATTCCGGATGGGGAAAACACGGCAACTTTTTGGAGGTTACGTGTCTTCCAGGAACTTTCACTGGGTTTACACAAAAATTCTATATCCAAGCAAGATTTTCGGAAAATTAGTTATAAATGTGCTAAACAGTAAACGATCTATGACTCTGCTTGCTGAAATGGAAATTTAAAATTCCCTATTTCTCTCTGCTCTAGGGGCTGTGGGAACTCTAGCCTATGCTTTCTGTCAGTTCTACCCTGAAATGAAGATAATAGTTTGTGACTTGGAGCCAGCCTTGATTTTAGCTCATCACTTCCGACCATCAGTGGAAGCTTGCCAAAATCAAGCCAATGTTTCCTTTGCGGTCAGCGATTTCGTCAATCCTGAAACCATATCAAAGGCTGAATTGTATGTGTTGTCTCAACACATACACGGACTGACTACTATTAGTCGGAAGTAAAGTAAAAGTAAAAGCTATTCGATGTCACTATTACCGACACATCAAAGAGTCTGTGAACACAGACGAATCGTGTGGTGCCAAAGATGAAAGTGACGGGGAATCAGGGGATGAAGAATATGAAGAAGAATTCGACAGTGGGGAGGGCGAGAGCGACAATGACTTTGTTTTCAATAATTTGGATGAGAAGAGAAACCCTTGAGAGACAATTCAGTTCATATCAGATGACCAAATATGTGAAGTTGTTGTTCAAGGTTCATGAGACGTAAGTATTAATATGGATGTCACTTGCTTAGATACATGTATATTAACACTGGCTCTTGTGGTGACTGCGATAGAAGAGGGGGGATCATGAAGTCTTGCACTGTCAAATGATTTGTGGGGATCAAACCCACTCAGCTGTTATTTTCAAGTATTTTCAAGTATTTTCAGGCAGGTAATCTTGTAACTGAGTCTCAATCTGGCTTTAGACCTAATCATTCAACCTCTACAGCTTTGATAAGTGCTGTAAACCTTTGGCTTGCCAACATGGATGCTGGTAAACTTAATGGTAGTGTATTTATCGACTTAAAGAAAGCCTTCGACACTGTTGACCATAACATCTTACTACGTAAGCTGTATTGTTATGGTGTCAACGGCAATGCTCTTCAGCTGCTTAAGTCATACTTGACTGATAGAACGCAGAGATGTTATGTAAATGGAGTCTTATCCACAGAACAATATGTATCATGTGGCATTCCCCAGGGCTCTATACTTGGACCACTATTGTTCATAATTTATATAAACGATTTTCCCAAATGTCTACGACATACAACGCCTGGTATGTTTGCCGATGATACA